AATATTATTTTACTACACATAGAACTTTGAGAGTATTCATAAATATTTTTCCTAATGTGTGCTGCCTGCTCCTCCTCGTCCGTCGCGGAGGCCTCGGAATCGCTGTGACTATCAAGCTGGCACTCTGCTCCTGCAGCAGCTACAGGTTGAGGAGGTTTAATGTCGCGAGCATACATGAATTTCTCAACCAGTTTGCATTGTTCCACCCAGTTGTGGGCAATATGTTGAAGGAGTTCATTCATTTTCTTAAGTAGGAAATGTGATTCTTTTGTGCATTTTCTTTTCTTGCGTATAATAATGTTCATGTGACTTACTCGAAGCGTTAGGTCTCGTAGTTGATGAAGTTTGATGTTCGGTTACGCATCCTTCGCGACCTCCTGTTTCAGCCAGCCTTAGAAGAGCTTTATTGCCGAAAACTGGTAGTGGAAGAGGGGCAGTCGAAGGATCTCAACCCCCCCATCGTGCGCAATCTTGTCGACGACGTGCTTTTTCTGAAGCATCTATTATTATTTTTACACTATTGTTTCGATTTTTTCATAATTTCTTCAAAGCCCTTTTTTTGACACCATATTTTCTCGATCTATCAGTCCGCTTAGCTTGTTTTTTTTTTTTTCACCTCAACCATTTCTTAATTTACTGTACTCAGAACTGATATTATTCGCAGTGAATCTAAAGCTATCTTAATGACTGTTTCCTTATTCCTCCCCTTTTTCCACTTTTTTCGTCCAGCTATTATTTTTATACCAGTATTTTACTCTTTTCAAAAATTTTTTTGCTCGATTATAGATTTCCGTTTTTCAACTATGGGTTTTAAACTGTTTTTTCTCATCTGCCAATACTATCACCTTAATTTTTTCTCACATAATTTTTATTTCCTAATTTAGTAGATTGCGAAAAAAAGGAGAAAAACGTTTGTTCCCTCACATAAACAAAAATTATAACAGTAAATAAGTAAAAAATACCTATCAAAATCAAAGATTCTGTTACATTTCTGCTAATATCTCGGCAGAAACAGAACCAAAATTTGGTGGAACTTGAATTATAAACAGTTTTGACAACTACGAACAAAATGACACTGATAACAACTCATATGCACAATTAACAAAGAAGTTTAAGCTACCTTTTTCTGGGCCTCTCCGGTATCTTCCGGATGCCTCCATATAACATGGCGGCGCACTGCCAATTCCGCTGGAGTCGTTCCAGTCGAAAGCATTTTCCCGCCCAAAACAAAATAGGATTGAATCCGCCTGTATATATAAACGTCGTCATTTCTAATTTGCATGCTACAGTAGATCGGTTGGCCGGTAACTTCATTAAAACTGGTGGCCAACGTTCAACTAAGGCATTGTTTATCTGGTTTATTTTTGGAAATTTTTGGGTTTTTGACACCAATCGATTTCTCAGAACAGTGGCTATTGGGTTTATTGCTATATCATGTTGATCGGTAGCGTCGTCCTCGGGATATTTACTAAAATGTGGCGTAGGAGCTGATTCCAACATTACTATTTTTCTATTGCTTTGTAGTTGAAATTCAGCTAGTTAGAAACACAGGATTTCTTTCGTTTTTTTCATATGGATTCCTTGAAATGTGTTTTTAAAGAAAATGAATTTTTATAGGGGGTTTTGTCGAGCATTTTTGCAAAATTTTTTTATAAAGGGAAGTTTTAACGGAGTCGGCACGTATGCAGCTGGAGAGGCCACCTTTTTCCATAACGAATAAACTTTCATTAACATTTTTTCTCTTGTAATCGGTATTTTTAGAATTTTCCCAACTTATATAACCGCTGTCCTCTTTCTTCTTGCCTGTGATTTAAATAATAAAAAGTTTTCGAGGTTTAATGTGTTCAGCAAAATGTGACATTGGAGGTGATTCCAAAATTACTATTTTTCTGTTATTTTGTAGTCGAAATTGAGGTTGTTAGGGATACAGGATTTTTTTGCTTTTTCCATGCAGATTTGCTGAAGTGTGTTTTTAAAGAAAATGAATTTTTACAGAAGGGGGGGGGGGATTGCCAAGCTTTTTTTTTGCAAATTTTTTTTATAGAGGGAAGTTCTGGCTTTCATTTAGACTGGTACACCCTTCATGCTGATTGGTTGAAGACGATGATGCCAAT